GGTGGTTCATCTTTTACTGTGACTATTGTGTGTGTGTAATGATATTGGTTTTGAGGTTTCAGTGGTAAATACAGATACTGGAGGGTGTCTGTGTGTGATTTCAAAGGGTTTGGCAAGTGAATGTTTAATACTGTACCTTAAAAATCAAGCTTATTTAATACAGGCAAGATACATTTAAACTTAAATACTTCCTGTTAGCATGGAGCATATGGAAAGACTCAAGTTTCATGCAGTGACAATGTACCAATGAGCAATCAGCAAAAATTCACAGAACATATAGTGTTCTTTCTGAAATCTGAGACCTTGTTGATGGCACTGTAAACAGAAATGTATTCAAAATGAACCACAGTGAGGTTCTGTGAAGTCTCCATACCTGTCTGTCTAGATCCACATATGAGTCATTTCCTCCCATCACTGGAGTCTCTTTGCTCATCAGCTACAGAAACATACAAAAATAAGTTAGAGACCTGAAGAAGTTGTACACAGCATCAACACCTGTTACACCTTGATTCAGTAATGATGATGATAATGGTCTAAATCTGACCAATCCCACAATTCTATCATTATTAATCAATCATCACCAGCAGTTAATCAGAGATTTAAACAGCATGATAGTTCACCTCTTGGATGGCTGTCATGACAACATGCTGCACCGACTCCTCCATCATCATTATGGTCTGGATGTATTCTAGAGAACACAGACACAAACAACAATATCAACTAATCAATCAGTCAATCCATTTATTGGATCTCAGAAGGGCAACTGGTTATGCAGCAATGCATACATTTAGCAAATATAAAACATAAAACACCATAAATTCATAAATACAACACTAAGACCAACAAAACATAAACACACAAGTTAAAACATGAATGCAAATAACTACCCTTTCCACTTTTTTTTAGAATTTAAGGAGATGGCAGAGGGTATAAATAAAGGTGTGTTTGAATCCATTTATTTTAGCTAAAGGAATCTGTGGTGGGTATCAGAAGACAGGAACTGAAACTGTTGTTGTAAATGATAGGAACAGCATATCAGACAGGAAGGATTCTGCTCTCTTATATATTATATACCATTATTACAAACAGTATATTAGATTGTTTGTTGTAAAGATCCTGCAGAGTTCCCTGTGCAGTGCCAGGTATTTTGCTGCACACACTGAGGATATTTTTGTGCTTGACCTTGAGAGATTGATATCAACAGTCAAAAGAGAAAGTGCGCACAGACTTGGGAACCTCACTGAATACCAAATCATCCCGATGCTCATATGCATTGCGTGCATGGATGTTAGTCTGCAAACTGCAGAGGGTAAAGAAAATGTTTGGTCCTGTTCAGTAGTTCTTTTTTGTTTTCCTTTTTTTGTAGCTCCAAGGTCAGAGCTATTGGTTTGAAGTCATCACAGGGTAAATTCAAGCTTCTGAGTCAGGTGTTAATGCAATGTGATATCATAGAACATTGTTTCCCAATATCGAATTACATATCTCACACACACACACAGAAAGACAGACAAGCACACAGAGTAAGGGTGCTCTGATCACAGTTTTTGAGTCCGATCACTGTGTATCAGCCAATACCCATCACTGGGTCTATTTAAAGCCTTATATTTATAGTGTAGCCTTATTTATTGATCATTATTTATTACTCTTAACAAGATTGTATATTAAGTATTCATTAATTATTAAATTATGAACTGACAACTGTGTATTTATTTACTGTGTATTATTATGTATTTATTGGCAAGCAACATGTTCAACATGACACAACTTAAACAGCAGCCTGATGTTGGTTATTGGCAGCAGCTTAGAGCTCCACAGTGTTTCCACAGAATGACAGTTTAACTATATTATATTTCTGTACACCATGTCTTATTTCACCATTTTAATTTAACTTTACTGTCCACCTTATTTTGGTGTTTTACTGTTTACTCACAAAATACTTTGTACCTGACACACATGCACACACCTACACCTCTGTCTCTCTCACTCTCACACACACACACACACCAGCTGACCCGCTTCTTTCTGCTCCTCTTTCCATATACAGGCTGTCTCTGCTCTGTTACTTTGGTCAGCAGTATGTTTTATAGTCAGCCAAAGACACACCTCAGGTTTTAAATGCTTTCACCCGCAATTCCTTTTTCCGAGCAGGTAAGCCGCGCATTAACCAGGAGGCTTGTTAACTACATCGCATATCGAAAACGCTATCGAAATCGCATATTTACCTGCTCCTTGCTTGTAAAACATCCTACAGATAACGTCTCTCTCTGTTCTATGCAAAATGCTAAAACAAGTCCCTGACTGTTAACATACCGGGCGGCCCACCCAAGTAAATCTATCTGTGTCAAAGACTGAACAACTTTCCTGCAGAATAAATGAATGCGTCAGCTGATCGGCGTTCAAACTAATTAGAGCGGATATCGGCCGATCAATCGGAGCACCCTTAATGCAGAGTAAGGAATACGCACCTTGTTTCTGTTCGCAGTTGACAGCACAGCCCAGTAGAAGTTGTAGCATCCTCCCAAGTTCTGCTGAGTCAGAATGCTCTCCAATAAGGTTAACATCTGGTAATGTGAAGTCGTTAATGTGCTGGCCTAGGATCTAGAAAGGGACAAAATGCAATAATGGAATTATTTCATTATATGAAAACTAGATTATCATGGCCTGTGTTGTGCATAAGGGATTATGGGCGGAGTAGTCACAACTTCGTTCACCAACACAGCTACTTGTGTATTGTTGATGCTGGGAACTGACCAAGTCTTCTTATTTCAAAATGAATAAGGTAAACTCTTACCTCCTGGTTATAGTCGAGCATTCCTTTCAGAATTTTCTTTAGGTTGCTGATCTGTAACAAGAGAGAACTTATATAGAGGTATCTCTAGAATATCAGAAACAGCAATACAACTAACAGAGGCTATACTGAACCAAAGTTCTACAGGTCACTCATAAAAAGGTTAAGACTCAGATAAGTAATCTATGATTAACCAAAATCAAATAAATATTTTAATAGTAACAGTGGGGTCCCGTATACAATTCAACATAATTGCAACATACAACATAGTTACCATTTCTGGATAGAGATATTATTCATTTACACTAGGAATGGTCTAAGTTTTCTTATCTTATCTTATCTATGTCATGCAGCTAATGGGGGAAATGGCCTCACAAAACCCTACCATGCATACCTACGAATTAAACAAAGAATAACTGATGCTTACCTTTAACCTCCAGTTGTCCCCAACCTCTGGCTTGATTCTACTAATCCAAGCATCATTGAAATACACTACATCTCTAGAAAATTCAGACAGAGAAGAGAATATGGATTAAACAGTGTGAAGTGTTTCTGTGTCTTTTTGTGAATAAGGCACAAACAAAGTGGGCAGTTTTTTCATCTCAATCTACAGGCTTAGGGGACTGAGAAATAAAGCTGAGCCTACAGTGACGGAGCGACAGCCTGACTGAATGTTTTAATGCGTTTACTTATTAGTGAGAATTATTCTGATAATTATTAACGCCAAAACAATGCCAAACAACATCAAAATAAAAAAATACAACAGACAACAAATGCTGCATTTTCTAATAGCCCAACCTTGAGATGAAAACTTACATTTTCTGTAGTGCTTGGGCCATGACGATGCCACTCGTCAAGTCTTCTACTGTCTTGCATGGAGCATCGACTCCAAATGTCTGGATCTAAACGACAAACAGAAACAAACACATTGAGCTCGGAGTGCCTCATAAAAGTATACATTTACATCGAGTCGCGAGTTGGTGCACCTACAATAAGATCCGCAGATGTAAGAATGGGAGATGTGAAATACAATGATATATTGAAAGTGTACTGATGCTTGCTTTTCACTTTCTGATCAGCAGACAGTGAAGGTAAACTACTTTATCAGCATCCGGATGAATACATAAAACCTGTAATTTGATTAGTCTCTGAGTTTTGTTATGCTAATTCTTGCTTTTTCACCCTCATTTTATACTTTTCAGATCTTTCAGCAAGCAGGGCAGATTAACAGTCAGCTCACACTTGCTGCTCCTGCAAACTTCCTCTCAACTTTGCTTGTCATCATTACTCAGTTTCTCTTACATCATCTTCATCACTTTTTTCAGACCTCACTTGGCATGTCTTAGTTCTCTTTCTGTCCTGCATTTCCCTCTCTAATGCTCTCCCTCTAGGCTAAAAGTCTGCTGCACAGACAGAAGTGAATAGTTTTCAGTCTACACGCCAAAAGTCCACGTGCCAGAGACGGGCAATTGAGAGCAGGAATGTTGGAATTCTGACAGGAAGAAAATGACGAGGTTGAAATTCAGCCTGCACATCGTTCCGTCGCTCTCACTTTTCACATGGTGGCAGCTCTCGAGCCCTCAGTGGCAGATTTGCCAAGAGCAGAGAGCAACAAATAAGAGATTCAACAGAGTGTCTCTAAAGCAGGGACCCGGGTTGATGAAGGGTTTATCACAGATCCACATGAAGTAAATGAATTGAAATTAACTGTCATAGTTTCCGAAATAAAACTCATTCGAAGTTCTTATGATTGGAAAGATTTTACAGTGAAAAGCAGCTAAAAGTGCTGGGTTGGTAATAATGTGCAATTTAACTCGCCATCTAAATCCACTGCTATGACACTACTGGCTGCAGAGCCAATTTTCTTAAAATAAAAATGATGCAACAACACCATCTCCGACTACTGAGCTGCTATAATCTGTTCTGAGCAAGTTTAAATAGTGTTTGAAAGGAAAAGTGCTTGAATAATTCATATAATTCTTTAGAAGCAATTCCCTAGGTCTTTAATATGGAGCAGCATTTCATTAAGCCTGAAAACTATCTAAGGAGAGCCGTGTATTATTGCTTATATGCAGAGGCAGAGATTAGTAAACAAGAAGACATTTGACACTGTACACAGGAAAGGACAAACCTGACATGGCATGAGGGCAACATGACACCCAAAATAACATCCACACTATCGCTTGATAAATCAAAATAACCTAAATGTTTTTAATGTTTAGATTTATTTTGTGCTGCAATGCCAATTGGGGTCTCTCCTGAAATGTACACATTGCGTAAAACTGATCCAACAACAACAAAGCACGTCCTGCTTCCTACATTGCTGCTGCAAACCAGATGATACTCACCTACACCTTGATGACACCTGATTATTATTCAAACTGCTAATTAGCTTTCAGAGTGCGTTCAGGCAGCCGAGCATCAATAAGACAGCGTCTCTGTGCATCAGTCAGGCAGTTAGGAGATAAAGCCGACCACTGTCCTAGAGCGAATGCAGAAGCAGAACAATACCCGATTTCATCACACAACTACCGGAGAGAAGAAACTTTACACGCTTGAATTACCCATAATGCTCACTCAATTATCGACCAATTCAGCTAAACAGTACCAAATGTATTCTACAGCAAGATCAAGATATACCCTTTCCTGCGATGCTCCGTTATCTTATAACTTCCTGTGTTTAGATACTATTACAACACATTACTGGCAAATGAGATGGCACTGTATTTTAACACACATTACAATGGATGGAGGAGCAATTAGCGGGTTGTCAAACATGCATTAAACTGCCCTTTTTTAAATGCTGTAGTATAAACAGAACTATACAATATACTGGGTGGGTTTATTTAACAAGACACATCACCTTTCTCCTGGAGTGAGAGTAATAGCGCTGAATGTAATTGAAACTAGACAAACGTCAATGCTCTGAACTTGTGATGGCTCTCCACCACAGCAACATTTGGTCTGCACCATTTCACTGCAGGAGAGAGGTGCTAGGAAAGAAAATAGGCCCTCTCATAAAAGACACACACCACCCACAAATGCCTCGACAGAGACATTTCTCCAAACGTGGCAATCGGTCCACAGCCATCAGCAGACGGTTACAAAGCCTAACTGAGCCAGAAACGAATTAATGGCCAAATGCAAAATCGATAGTTTCGGCCTCATGAGTTGAGGTATCAGATCAGACACCTCTACCAGGGTTATACTTCCGACACATCCAAATCTGTTGCATTTTGTAGACAGACTTAGTGAACGACAGTATTGTATCCCCATTTTGGTATATCCATCTACACTGTGTAAGAATCAATAAATAAGCACCTTGTGTAAAACTGGATAGTTTGTGAAAGACTTCTGAATCAAGCTTCCCGTTATGAAGATTTGGTAAATGCGGTGCTAAGGCTGAAACCAATGTGTCTTTGTGCGAGTGGTGTCCTTATGCTAAACCTCTAAGCTGTTGTTTCTGGATTAAATGTCAATGGCCTGTAATCCACGGTGTAAAAGGATTAATAGGAGCCGTCCACACTTTGTTGATTTCAGTTGCAACATCAGAACTCTTTCCAGGTAGGTCCGGGCTAAACCATGTCCCCCTACGTCATCAGGGTCACCTCCAAATCAGCTTATTATGATTATATTAATCACTGAACCTTGAAGCACTGACTGCAGGGTGGAAAGGGGTCAACAAACACTGCACTGCATCTATTGGAGTAACATTTTCTGTTTCCCCTTCATTTCTGAACAAAACAACTCTAACAGTTACCCTGCTGCTCATAACTACTAGTTTTGTTTAATGTAATGTTCAACAATATCCAACTGAACGAGTCATTTTGTGGTTTTCGAACTGCAATATTGCCATTTCTGTCAACATTTCTCAAGCACAATTACTACTTTAGTACTTCTGGTCTTCCTTATATTTAACCGTGGTAATGTGACTTCTTGTTTTTAAGTTAATTGCTATAATTTCATTTTTTCATTTGAGTACATGTTTAACATTATACTATGTTACTGAAACCACACAATACTGGTTAGGCAGTACAGATGAGTACTGGATGTCCACCACAGAACATCTTGTGCTATTTCTCTGCGCAGTATCTTAGATCCTGTTAGTTCCCAATCTATGTGAGTGATCGTTTAAAATCAATTAATCTGGAAACAAAGCATCATGTGAACTGAGGAATTTTGTGGTTGACGTTTAACAAAATTTGCTCATGTTCCAGTCGTGCCAGATTACAATCAGTGTGCTTTGATCACATCATGCATAGCTGTCTGCCTAGTTTACATTGGGAATTATACATTACACCTGCAGTGAAAAATGAAAATGTCTGACATTGTATGAGACCTTAAAAGGTTTGTACAGTGGACCCTAGGGAGACAGAAAACGCATCACCAAAAGGTGAATTTCCCATGATACCCTCACCTTCTGAGTCACAAGAGCTGATATAATATCTGTAACAACATTTTCCCTGCAGCACACAAAGCGCAACAAAATATAATACAAACACTATTACTCTATTACAAGTGAGTATGTGTTAATTTTTGAAAAAACACAGACCTCAATCAATGAAAAGATAACAACCAACATTCATACTCTTGAAAATACTGGCTCCAGTACATCATGTAAGCATGGACATACACAACTCCGAGAAGGCAGGCTGAGCTCAAAAAAGGAAGTCCACACCTACGAGTTTACGGAAACATTGGGAAAGAGAGGCACTCAAGCTGTGGAAAAAGCTTGTGTCACATGACTAGGACTAAAAAAATGACCTGCAAAAGCCTTCGCATGAACTCATAATTAATGTTATCGTTTTGAAGAGGATACAGGTCGCTCTAAACTACCAAATACCTACATTAGGCTGCATCCTACAGTACTTCAGTCAGCTATATAATTATATATGTAGGCTATTTCTCCTAAAGGAAGATTAGCACACCAATGCCACGCATGCCAACCTTGTGCAACTTTGACAGTAACGGCGAATGTGCATGTGGTGCACGACGCAAGAGGTTTCAACGGCAAAAATAACCATGACACAATGCAGCCAATGCATCTAGTTGTCTTACATTGGCTTACATTGCCATGTAAAGCACGAGAGAGCCATAAGGGTCAGTCATGATTATTTTAAGTGGTGCTGCAATAGTTTAAACGCTATATATCCAGTTATGTTTTGTTAAGCATTATTTTACCTCTATATTTCAAAAGGTATAAAGCTCACATGTAGGAAAATTATTAATTAAATATATGAATACACAAAATTTCACCATGCGTATTGACAACTGAAGTTACAAGTTAGCTCATGCATAGCAGGCACTGTGCTCAATTGAAATCAATTGTCTTGTATACCAAAATGTATATTCTAGGCACAAATATGTTTTTGTGGTCAAAAACAGGAAAGATTTAAAATTGTTGTCAAATGACTACAATGTCATGAGATATAGTGTCATCATTTGATCTCATTATCTTATTAGAGTGTTTTTGAACAACAGTCAAAAAACATCAGATAACAATTAGTTGATTAGTAAATTGCCAATACTTGGAAAACTACTCGGCTTTTGTTTGAATCTTTTTTTGGCTTTATTGCTGAAACACGCATTATCTATGACAGAAACTG